TCCCCTTCAAACCCTGACACATTCTGATCTGTTTTAGCAGAGGACTTTAGAGCCCTCATGGCTCAATGGTTGGACTTGATGATCTTAAAGGTCTCTTCCAACCTAAAGGATTCTATGATTCTAAGAACAGCCACAGAGCCCCAATGCAGCCCTGGGAGCATCACCAAAGGCAAGGTGGGACTGAGAGCAGGGACAGATCTACAAATTCACCCCCAGATGGTGAACACAGCCACCCCCAGACTCCAGGCACCTCTGCTGACTGGTGGGATGGACATCACACCCTTCCTTTGTAAGGCCCTTGAGGTTCCTCCTCACAACCCCACCCCAGCCCAGGCAGCACCCAGCTTTCCACCAGCCCTGGGCCAGCACCGCACTCACTCAGACGTCATCTGGGCGACGAGCTGCAGGGAGGTGAAGCCAGCAGTCAGGAAGCTGTCCCTGTACTGGCTCATCTTCACAGCACTCAGCCAGTCGTCCACTGAGGTAAAGGCAGTGAAGTCGGGGATGGAACGGTCGAGGAGGGGCTGAGAAGGCCTGGGAGAGGAGGAGACACTGCTGGCAACCAGCCCCCCTGGCACCGCGGGGCTGCCCAGCGTGAGCCCAGCGGGTGCAGATGCCCTCCCCAATCCACCCCTCACATAATATCCCCAAGACAAGCAAGGCCACGAGGGAGGCCTGTCCCATGGGAATATGGCTGTGCCAAGCAGCACTTTCCCACCCCACCCACCCAGCCCTGAAAGCCCCAGGGCTGGAGGCACCATCGGGGCGGACGCCGCGCGAGTGGACGGCGCGGAATCGTCGCCGCGGCGTGACGACGAGAACCCCTCGTGCCTGGCAAAGGATTTGGGCTGACTCCTTTCCCTCCCCCTCCCTGAGGGGCTGCCCGGGGGGGGGACAGGGAGCCTCACACAGCGGTGATGGTAGCCACAGTTTTGAGGCTGGCCGGGTTGCGGATCATCTTGTCGAGGGTGTTGACGATCTCGGCGAAGCGGGGGCGGGTGTTGCGGTCCTTCTGCCAGCAGTCCAGCATCAGCTGGTGCAGGGCAGCTGGGCAGTCCATGGGTGGTGGGAGCCTGTAGTCCTGCTCGATGGCGTTGATCACCTGGGGAGAAAGCAGAGCCTGAGCACCAGAGCTCTCCCTCCCTCCCGGGCAGCCAAGGAGAGGAGGAGAGGCTCCCGGAGGTTAATCTCCGCTCTGCCGATGTGCTCGGCGCAGCTCCTCCCGGCAGAGCTGCTGCTCATTATCTCCCTGAAGCTCTCTCCCTGCTCGTCAACCCTCTGAAGGTTTTCAAAGGCCCTGCAGCTTCCCAAAGCCCAATTACCAGCCCACTGGTTTGCCTTCCCAATTTCCCTCCCCGAGTCCTCTCGCTCGCCAACCCGTTTCATCTCGCCGAGCGAGCGCCGCCGAGGCTCCGGGAAGGAGCTGGGTCAGCAGGGCTTGTTTGGGGACCCCCTAAAGCTGCAGGGGTGACCCCCAGCACTCACGTCTTGGTTGGACATGTCCCAGTAGGGTCTCTCCCCAAACGACATCACCTCCCACATGACGATGCCGTAGCTCCAGACGTCGCTGGCCGAGGTGAACTTGCGGTAGGCGATGGCCTCCGGGGCCGTCCACCTGACGGGGATCTTCCCCCCCTGGGGAAGAAGGGAGAGCAGATGAGAGACAGATTCCTTGGCAGGGGAGCCCAGACACCCACCATCCAGGATTGGAGTCACCCTGCACACCCCTGGGCAGACAAACCCAGCAGGACAAGGAGGCAGGAGCTGAAAACACCTCTGTGAATTTCTCTTGTCGTTGCACAAAAGGGCTTGGCTAAAGACAAGGGTTTATCCAAGGGTTTATCCCACCTAGGTGTCACCTCTGAGTGATACATCCCTGCTCCAGCTGCCCTGAAGGACTCTGCACATTGGTGACCTGTCCCCAGGTCCTGTCCTCATGAAGACATCAGGTGACAAAGGCTACAGGGGACTGCACTTGTGCTGGACTCAGGTAAAGAGCCACAGGTACCCCCAACCCCTTGGCCTTCAGTGGAAACGAGGTCTAAGCTAAGAGCATCCCCTACAGCATCATCTGGGCTCCCACAGCTGCTGGATGGTCCTTCCAGAATCACCTTTGGTGCAGCAGGCAAAAGAGCAAAACACCTTTAAGCCCCAAAGGAGACTTGGAAAGCACCAGAATAAGAAAGTGCCTTTGGCAGAGAGCTCCTCGTTTCTCCTAAAAGCTCAAAATCAGGCTCAGCATCTCAAGTCACCCCATCAAACCAGGCTGGGTGCCAGCTCCTGGCAGGACAGGAAGGGCTGGAGACCACGTTGAGGGGGCAGGGATGCTGCAGAGGGGCAGCACCTACTGAGGGACTTCTCCCTGAGCAAGCCCCACTGAAAGAAGAGCCAAAAAAAAAGCCAGGGGATGAAGGGAAAACCACAGACACCCCCAGCATTTCCTCACAACTGCATTGTAAAGCATTTAGCACAATTCCTTCCCTGGCCTTTCTGAGGAAGCATCAGCTGCTGTTGAAGGATGAATGGCCAAAAAATATTTGATTGGAGTAACTACAAATGGAGAAATTAACTGCTAGGTTGTTTTTCCTGCCTTTTCCCCAGAGCTTAAAGACCTGCTGTGGGAGGCAGAGTGATGTAATCGCAGGCACAGCATCAGTTCCCAGCTGCCAGGGAGATCTATTATGGCCTAAATTAAATAAAAACACAGATGAGATAATCTCTTTTATCTCCAAAGGTGGGGAAAGGCTACTTCAGGCTTCATCCCAGCAGCTACTGCTGGGGGCTTTCGACATAAAAAACGATAGGTGGCTGCTCAAAGGACAGGTTTGGGCAGGGAGTGAGGCAGGTCCAGGGTGGAGGCGGGGGGGAAAAATCCCACAAGCAGGGGAGGAAGAGCTACAGCCAGGCCAAAAAAACTGAAGTCAACCTTAAAGGCATGTTTTGGGTTTCCCATTTTGGAGGCTGGAGCCACTCTGGCACCTTGGCACGGGCAGGCAACCCAAGCCACTGCTTCTGCAGGAGTCAGCACAGCCTCCTGCTGGCACCCAGTGCAGAATTTGTTAATCAATCAATAAATGAAGCCAAAGGGTTTGCTCATCCCCTCCTCTGCTCATCCTCAACACCACTAAAGGTCTCATGAGCCCACTGGCAGGAGGATGGCTGTGGTGGGGAGCTGGGGATCCCCCAGGGCAGCAGGAAGCAAGGAGAGAGTGGGGCTGCCGTCGCTTATGAAGTGAGTTAATGAGGGACAAGAAGGGTGGCTGGGGAATAGCAGAGCTCCTCTTAGGCTTCTCTCTTTAATTAAGGCTTGGAAGAAGTTTCCAGCAGAGGAAGGCAGACCAGGCCTGGAGCACAGGGGGAAGGGGAGTTATGAGGCTATCACCGTGCCGTTGGGAGACGCTGCCATCTCCCTGCCTCCCCCTCCCAGCCCTCCAGGGACTCCTCCAAGCCCAGGAGAGGCTTATCTGGCAACTAACGAGGGGAAAAAGGTGCTTGGGGCAGGAGGGAGGCATAAAACTCATAAAAAGGAGGAAGAGAAAGGAGGATGATGGATGGGAGCCACACCCAGGGTCTCTGGGCCGCGAGCCTACATGATGGAAACCCTCCAGAGATGCTCTCACCCCTGGTAAAAGCTCCAGGGCATACATCCAGTGCCCTTCTCCCAGGTTTAGCTGGAAGCAGATGCAGGGCAGCCACGGAGGGATGCTGGGCAAGACAAAACCTTGCAAGAGATACATACCAAGGAGCTGGTGTAGGTGGGGTCAGAGGTATCATCCTGCAGGTAGCGCGAGAGCCCAAAGTCCGACACTTTGCACACCAGGTTGCTGTTGACCAGGATGTTCCTGGCAGCCAGATCTCTGTGCACGTAATTCATCTCTGCCAGGTACTTCATCCCTGCAGCAATCCCTCGGAGCATTCCCACCAGCTGGATCACAGTGAACTGCCCATCGTTTTGCTGGGACCAGAAAGAGCAGGAGCTGGGGTGAGCGTGTGGCCGTTACCATGGGACCTCACTGCTCAATCCCATCCCTGGGAGGACACTGCCTTGCTTGATTAAAGCAGAGTTATGCCAGCAGCAGAAAACATGTTTTGAGGGTGGACAGCACGCTGGAATCAGGCCCTGAGCTGAGGAAACTGGGATGGACACAGCGAGATACCAAAACACTCCCAAATCCCACAGCTCAACGACATCCCTTACCCCCCCCCTCCTCATCTTACCCTCAAGAACGAGTCCAGGGCTCCATTCTCCATGAACTCAGTGATGATCATGACTGGTCGGCTCTTGGTCACCACCCCTTCCAGCCGAATGATGTTGGGGTGGTCAAACTGCCCCATGATGCTGGCCTCGCTCAGGAAGTCCCGGCGCTGCTTCTCCGAGTAGCCAGCCTTGAGGGTTTTGATGGCCACGTAGATCTCCCTCTTGCCAGGCAACTTCAGGCGTCCTTTATACACTTCTCCAAACTCCCCTGCAAGGGGGAAAACATCTGCTGCCAACTTCTCCTCCCCGGGAAGCCTTGCCAAGAGTAAAGGTGCTTTGAGATGCTCCGTCTCCAAACCAACTCGCTGAGAAAGGGCAGCCAGTGAGCACCTCCAGGGTGCTCCCTTGTGTCAATCTACTCACCTGTCCTCTTTAAAAGGGGCAAAGCCTGCTGCTGAGGATGCATTTGGGCTTACAGCCTCCTCTCCAAGGTGACAGAGCCCAACGTTAGGAGAGGCAGAGGCTGGGTCTGCTTTTGCAAACCCCCCGCAAGAAGGAGTCGCAGAGCGAGAGCATCACCACTGAAGGACCAGCTCAAATGGAAGGTGTCTGCATGGATAATCTCAGCTGCCTTTTTGCACATCACTCAGCTTGGAATGGAAAATAATTGGGCCCTTTTCATTTCTGCCCCCTGATTTAAAATACAGCAAAAGTGTCCTCTCAATTTCAGCCAGAGAGATTTTCCTCCGCTAAGGCAAAATCTGGATTTTTCTTGTTCCCTCATGGAAAACCCAAGTAAGAAACCCCAAAAGGCCCCACGGTCACCTGGTGAATACGTTCATGGAGCCTTTCCCACCTCAGAGGAACTTTGAGAGCTGAAACCAACCACATGTCCACCCTCACCCACCACAAACCCAGGGAAGTCCGATGTCTCGAGGCTTTCTTGAGGGTTTCCTGGTGAAGGATCTCATGTGCACCCCCAAAAATTGCTCCAGGTGAGTGGCTGGCCATGCAGGAGTGGGAGAGAGGGCAGGGAAGGATGGGTGGCATCCCTGCCAGGATGGTGAGACCCACCTGCTCCAATGACTTCTTCAATTTTCACAAAGGAGACGTCGATCTCCTTGGCGAACTCTCGGACAGCCTCGTTGGGGTCCTCATAGGTGAAGGGGTCGATGTAGATCTTCATCCCTGGGGACCCTTGTTGCAGAAAACATGGGAACAATGACAAAAGGGAGAGAAATCAAGAGCAGTTGTGCCATGGCCAAGAACTGGAGACCCTCCTGTCTTCATGTCCATGCACTTATTAAGATGGGTCTGCTGCTCTGCTCACCCACACCACATCCATAGACCCTCAGTGTCTCCTTTGGTCTCCCTACATCACCCAACCCTCCCCTCCAGCCCCTCCTCTACCTCTCTGTCCTCTGCTCTTCCACCATTATCCTTCTTCTTCCTCCTCCCTGGCAACAAGGAGCATTTCCAGCCCTGCACTACAACAAGCTGGCTTTGTGTCGAGGGCTTTACGAGGCTCTACATGGTAGTGAAGAAACATTTATTTACCCAAAAAGGCCTCTGATAGCTTTGTGGTAGCTACTAAATTGACAGAGTGCAGCAATTCTAATCAACAACCAGTGTGGAGCCATAAAATACAGCTTCTTGGCCAGCTTCTGTGTGGTCCCTCACATGGGGGCAATGTGTAGCAGCAGGATCCAGCCACGCTGCAGGGAGATGCAGCAAGTGGGCTCATGTTTTTTACAAATGGGGGGAAAAAAACCCTGAAGATGCCCCCAAATTCCCCAAATGGGGGTTGCAAACATCATGTTTGGATGGCCTGGGGCTTGCAGAGGTGCTGGAGGACACGGCCATGGGGCAGAGTGTGGTCGCTGCTGTGCCTGGGGCTGAGAGGGGTATTGGTGTTATACCATGGTTAGGTGTAAAGGAGAGCAGAAAGCTGTGGTTCCACTGTGGAGGTTCACCTTCTCCTGCCATTTCTTACCCAAAAAGAGGAGTGGGGATGGTATAACAGCCCCTGAAGGTCATCTTGGAAGAGACCAGGGGGGGACATGGCTGCCTGATCCTCCTCCTCAAGGCACCTCGCCCTTACAGTGACTGGCAGCATTTGACCACATGGTCATGGACCTCACCAAGAGCCATGATCCTGTTGGTGGGATAACAATCCCACCACGTTGTCAGGGACCTCCCCAAGGGCCATGATCCCACTGGGCTGGTCCTTCCTGGAGCCCTTCTAGAGCTGATGTGGAGAGGAACGCAGAGCCCAAGGCATCGCCTCTGTGCAGCTCCACACCAGGAATCTGAATGGGCTCCTGGGTGCTCTGCAAGTTTGCCAGCAAAATAACTCAGGAGGAGGCCTGGAAGCCTCACAGCAGGGCTCTGCTGGTGCACATCCAAGGCAGAACTTCCAGGATTTAGGAGGGACCAGGTAAAGAATCATCCTTGTCCCCAGAAGGGGCATTTAGGGCAAAAACTCAGTGCCTTGGAGGCAGGCAGGGAAGGCTGCAATGAAGCCATCTGTGCATCTCCCAGTTCATAAATCCCTTTACAGCTCTGTCTCATACACTTTAACTGCCCCATAAATTTCTTTACAAGAGCAGCTGATGCTCCAGCCAGGATTACAAAGGGATTTACAGGATCGTAACCAAGACTGACTCACTGATCAAAATATTGAAGAAATCAAGGAGACAATAATGCTGAAGTTTCCTGCCCACTGTCATGACAGCTGGCTTTCAAACACCCTCTTGAAGCACCCCCATGGGCTCAGGACTCACTCAGCTGCCCCCTAACCCCCATCCCACCCAAATTAGTGAGATGAGGGCACCTAAACCCCTTCCTCATCTCCATAAACCTCAGCCACCGGCTCGCTGTCACCACGCCAGCAAGAGCTGGGCAAGCACCAGAGGCAACCTGTGCTGAGCCTGCCTGCAAAGAGAGCTTTGCACTCTGAAAATCACCCCCAGTGCTCCCAGAAGCTGCAGGAGGCCATTGATCACTGCTGCAGACGACAGCAAATTATTTATCACTCTTCAAAAGTTGAAGTGCCCTTTGCTGTGACCCCGACTTCAGCGCCAGGTCCCTCCAGACATCATTTTTCCTTGGGACAGAGGGGGGAAAAAAAAGCCCTGCCTGCCAAATCATCACCCCTTCAACAGGGTTTTCCTTAGTTCTCCTCTTTCAAAGCTCCTGGTGAAGCAAGGGGAGAGAGAAAGGTTGAGAAATGACAGCCTGACAGACCCCAGCTCACCCCAGAGCCCACGTGGGGCAGGTCTCAGCCAGCAGCAGGCAGGTTGTGATGCCAGGGGCTCCCAGGAGGGCTGGAGGAGCTGCTCCAGGGAGGGTGGCATTGCCATGCTGCTGAACACACTGGGGATTTGTTCTGTGGGTGCACTTGTTACTCCATTTGTCACTCACCACAAATTTCCCACCTGCTTTGCTCGAGGGTCTGCACCAACCGAGCGCCTGGAGGCTTCCTGACCTTCAGAGGGTTCTGTGACATGCCCAGGAGCTCGAGCACCCCCAGATTTTGGGCACTGATCTTCACGTTGCCCAGCTTTAAAAACTAAATGCAGACACCCACGCCGTTGCTTTCCTACCTGGTTTGAGCACCCTGGGGTTTGGGTTGCTCAGGGTGAGCTAGGGATGCGCTAGGGATGCACACGGGGGTGGGGAGTGTCTCAAAACAGGGAGAAAACAGGGGAAAAAAAAATAGCTAAACATGTCAGGCTGCAGGTAGACTATCAGGCATCAAATAAATCTTCCCCTGCCACCCATGGTGGAGAAACAGGGAGAAAAGAGAGAGGAAAATCAGAGCCCCGTTGTATTTCAGCATCACCTGGTGATGTTTGGAGAACAGTTTCTCGTTTGCTGGGAGGTTGAGGGCCCCCCACAGCCCAGCCATCAAGTTAGGAGGATTTGCTCTGAAGCTGAGAAGGTCAGAAGAGATCTAGCACAGTGTTTCAGGCTTGGCTGAGCTCTCCTGGCTGCCTCCAAACCCTGTCAGCCCTCCAGTTTTTCTCTGCCAGGTTGATAGCTCCATCTCCACCCCTCCCCTCCACTCACCCATCCTGCTCCCCTCATCCTGGGCAGCCCCTCACCCACCCCTGCACCCTGCTGCCATCTCTCTTCCCCAAGCAGGTGCCCAGGATCCAGGGATGGTTTCTACCCACAAGGCAGCAAAATGCACCTGGAAAGCCCCCCAAGGAGAGTGTAAATGGGATTTGCACCCCATGGGGATAGGGCACAGAGCCTGCAGGCACCAGCTCTCAATTCCTCACCCCTTGGGGCTGCTCCTTTACTGCTCTGCTGATTCCCACTGATCACAACAGGCTGCATTACCAGCAGCCAAGGGGCACCTGAGTACACCTTGTACACAACAGATGCCTCAAATTGAGTCTGCTGTGCAGCTCCACCAACTGCAGAAGTGTCTTAGGAAAAGGCCCTTCGAGCTCAGGCTTTCCCAGTTGTTTGCCAAGGGGATCAGCAACCCAAAGCCAGTTAAATCTTCCCAGTCACTGGCTGCACATCCTTCCCAGAGCAGGGTGCAGGGCAAGCATCAGCCATGCAGTCAGAGCAGCACCAACACCAGCCTCCAGCTCCAACTCCCCAGCCACGATCCCAAACTCCAGAGTCCTTTGAGTGGGAAGAGCAGCCCAGCACCAACCCTGACCCAGCCAAAGCCTGTGGCAGGAGATCAGGAGCTCATCCCCTCTCTGCACACTGCCTGTCTCCTTCCCTTCCTCCTTTGGGAGTCTTCACAGCAACCTCTCCCCATCCCCTGCCCCACTACATCCCCCCCCTCCCCTCC